GATAACCTTGAAGAGAGTGTCGTAGGACTGTGCCCCCCTGTACGGATCTGTGTCCTACCTAAACCAGCTATGAAATAGTACACCCGAATCAAAGACTTTACACCAGTTCAATAATCCTACAGATAATCTTGAAGAGAGTGTCGTAGGACTGTGCCCCCCCTGTCGGATCTGTGAGCTACCAATAAAATAGTTATAAAATAGTACACCCGAATGGTACCACGGGGTGGCTGGAATTACTTGTATAAATTGTAAATAGCGATAATAAAATATCTTAAACTGACAAGCTCTGAAAGACTGTTGTCTTTTACCATTATTATTTATAATAATAGCAATATTATTAGATTGACTATTGTAATGCATAACAGTAACATAAAATGCCAATTGAAACTCAGTTGCCAAAAGTGTCCAGTAATTGATGGTCATATTGATGATGATGACATTTATGGTAATGGTGTTAATAATGATATGGTGATATGGGGATGGTGAGGGTGTTGGTAATGATATTCTTGGTGAAGACAGTATTTATGATGACTGACTATTTTGTCCAATCGTTTGTGATGACATCGCATTTGTTTACAGCGATGATGAAATATGAGAACGATAACGGAAGCAAGCGAAACGTTGATCATTGATGGCGATTTTAACAATGATTCGTTGCATAATTTTCCGACTTCTTATTTATCATATAAGCAATGACACTGACTCTTGCTCACTGGCTTGTAAACCGTTTAAAAAAATAAGGCAAATAGCCGTTGAACTAAATCCATTCAACCGTAATCAAAACCTAATTACATTTCGTCAACTTGAAAAAGGCTTCAAAGAATGGCAACCAAAAAATATTATAAAATGAAAAAATTAAAATTACATCCAAGAAAGTCGTTCCTTTATGCTTTCATTTTAAGTCGTTAGAATCTTGCATAAAATTGAAAACCAAGATAAATAGAGCAACTTTTTTGCCTTTTTGCTTGTCTAGAGAAGTATCTCTCACGGCAACTGGTATTTAGAATTGTTTTATGCTCTTGGAATGCGATCGATCAGCCTCAACCAATAGCATTTCTTCGTTCATATTCATAGCTTAAATTAATTATGCTGTTTTAAATTTTGAAACAGGTCTCTTTGCTGTTCACCGAGTAAAACAACTATCCTAAAAATTTATTCTTCGCTTTTTCTTGTTTTTTAAAAAGCGAGAAATTTTCTTTAGGAAATTCCTAGTTTAGCTTCTGCAACATAGAGAATGAAACTTTGACGTTTTGATCTCTGGCGATTATATTTTTGTTGGCTTGGAATTGAGTTTCCCGATCAAGCAGGACAATTAGATCACAACCATCAGAGCAAAACTAACGAGAGAAAAACAACATGGATTTCGATTCAAGTTTCATCAACTGTAGACGACTTCTTTTTATTGTTTTTACCGTCTTTCAAATCGTAAATCCTATAAGAGGTATGTAGCTTTATTCCTTATAAAGAAATATATGTAATAAAACTAGTTAAAAGTGTAAAGCGTAGAAACTTCTTAACCAATTGCTTTTATAATCCTGGCATATTTCTTTGCTGTATTTATATGTTGCCAAAAAGGAGAAAATACTCTCTTAAAGTCTCGGAAATTGTGGGGGCTTTAATAAATTTTTGTGATAAATTTTCACTCTTGACTGACGATCTTTGACATGTGCAACAACCTTTATGAAAATAAGAACAAAATATAAAAACACCTGACATTTCTACTATATGAGCAAAATTGTTTGTAACGTAGGTAAATGAAAGTAGTTTTGAATTTTATTTTTGTATGTGTTGATTTTTAGGTGACAGTCTTTTGGATTTAATAAGAGGTAAGTTCAAGTTTCATGGAAAAATCATAAGATTTTGTTTCTCCGAGGGAGCAAAAAATAGTGCACTTTACCGTTACACTCAAATGGGTTCAACAATGAGGCAAATAAAAACAAAAAGTATCTCGACCAATCACTGTGCTCATGAATATCAGGGCTATTTCTTTTCCTGCCTTTTCAAACTCCTTTTGCTCAATTTCTAACATTTTCTAGGTTTTTAATATAGGATTTTGATATTTTCAGTTCCTCGTTCGGGCCCGCCATTGGCGAGAAATCAAAACCCTGTATGTCGTAAAGCACAGATGCTTCACAGTGACATTTTAAAGAACGCGTCCCTTGAAGGCCAACTCAAAGCCGGGAACTTCACCTATTTTGGCGTGGTTCACAACATGGAAGAATGCATGGGAATGTGTTGTTCAAGCAAGAAGTGCCAACTGGCGTATCTAGATAAAGATAAATGTTATGGCGTAAAGTGTTTTAATGAGAAAATGTGCAAAGTTACAGCAGGCATTGGTACGGACGACGTTAAGATTTCCTTGATGGTTAAGAATGATATAAACAAAAAAGGTAGTTCTAATTTGATGTTATTATACTTATGTCGCTCGTCTATAGACCAAATTCAAAACTCGCACCGAGGTGAGGCTTACGTTGTGAACAAAGGGATCTGGCGTGACTCAAAGTAATCTGGCGTGATTCGAAAGTCACGAATCACGCCAGATTCCTTTGTTCACAACTTAAGCCTCACATCGGTGCGAGTTTTGAATTTGGTCTTTTTTGTTCGTTTGCTTATTGTTTTCGTGTGTGTGTCGGAGTCCGTCACTTTTCCACAGCTAACCCAATCCAGGCTTTGACCACTTTACCTTTTACGTCATAAGTAACTCAAATTAGCTCCAAACATATTTATGTTCTTTACTTTCTTTCAATTCCTTCAAATCAATTAATCTCTTTTTTCTTTGCAGCGTATGTTACAGCTTATATTGTAGTGGTAGTCGTTGCTTTCGGCGCTGCTATCAGCGGCACAGTATGGGCCGTGTTCATTTTTGTTAAAAGGTAATAAGAACTACTCAAAAGAATTAGTAATTATATGCCGTTACGAAATTGCTCTGTGTAGCTGGTCCTCTTTTAAGCTGTCATAGGTGACGTACCCAGACCCCTAACGGGCCCTTCATACCAGGGAAGTCTGGGACCGACACATAAGAATTAATGCAAAGAGAGTGAGTCTTTCGACAATTCTTTACAAAGCTTTGTTTGTACCATCGATCAGGTATCGAGATGATCCACATGCGCCAAAAAAAGTAAATTCAAAAGATACCGAAGAGGAAGGCGAACCTAAGGGTGAAGCAAAGGTAAGGAACCACGTGACAAGGTTAATATTGTTTTTCGGTTTTTTAGGAATGGAAATTGTTGGAAAACAGTCGATCTTCTTTTCCTTTCCTCTCCCTTTTATTTCCATTCCCTTCTTTCCCTTCTCTTTTCTCTCCATCTCAAATACCTCACATAAAAGTTAAGAATCAATATTTTTCCATGTATGATAAATGTTGACTTCGCGTTTTCCTTTTATTCGGTGTTGCCTAAAACTCTAACCTTCCCGCCATTTTCCCCGCCATTCCATTTTTGCCCGCATACCTCCATCACTGGATCTATTCATGAAAATGTTCTCTATTGTATTTCAGGTCTACTAATAAACTTTGCACAAGAAATTAAAATCGAATAACGAAATAAAGACTGAAAATACATCTACAACTACTTGTTGATGGTTTTCCAAATTTGTAGGAAAACGAGCATGATATTTAAGACACTTGCCCAAAATGATGCTCTAGAATTACAGAGGTCACAGCATCAATGAATGTCGAGTTTGGCTGGTTATAGATAGATAAATGCATGGTTGTCGATGCATTTTGCTATTCCTGGATTCGAAGGGAGATCATAATTGAACCCAAGTCTCAAAGCGTTACTGCTCATTTCAAATGTTCGTAATACTGTAATTAGTAAAGTTGCCAAAATTGTTGAGATGGAGCATGCTTAGTAGAGGTTTCCACAGTCGTTTGCCGCAGTATCTTCGACAGAACGCTGAAATGTAAATTACTTTCAAATATATAAATGTAAAGCCTGGAATACGACATGGGAGAGCCTACGTAGCCAGCAGTTGATGTGCTGATTCATAAAAATACAATGGATTACAACAGATTGAACGACAATAGATTACTGGATACATCACATCTACTGTGTGCTATGTAGGTTCTCCCAATGCGACATTAACTCACTATGATGTGACCATTATGTTTTTACAAATAAATATTTCCTAAAGCTCAATATTGTTTAACTTTATATCCAATTCGACCCGCATCCTCCCATGATGCAGCACTACATAATTCGATAATACCCAGCTCCCTACTTCGACTGACTTTGCAACTTGGAGCCAAGCTATCTGCACGTTACTTCCCATGATGCAATATTACCCATGATGCACCACACCACCACCCAAGATGCACATTACCCATCACTTACAGTGATGTGATATTACCCATGGTTCACCTGGACCCATAATGTACCACTTCCTGTTTTGCAGTAAAACCCATCATGCAGCATTACCCATGATGCACCACACCTCCATCCAAGATGCACATTACCCATCACTTACAGTGGTGTAATATTACCCATGGTTCACCTGGACCCATGATGCACCACGAACAAATGATGCAACGTTACCCATAATCCATTAGCAAATATAACGCAACCTACTACACCTTACCCAATGCTTGTTAAATCACTACTGTCGTCCAAATGAATTTTTGAAGGCTTTTTAAACCATTTTATAAATATCGATAAAATTTACGTTACGAAGCTTTGTTCCTGCACGACAACATCGACATGAATCATTGTGTCGGTCGACATTTCTACTGTCTCTGTTCTCAGCTAATGTCGTAGTTATCGATTAAATCATCAAATGATGCGCGAGAACAGAAATTAGAAACATCGTCTGTCTTTTTAGGCGTAGTAGAAAATGATGGCATTTGTTTACATTGTATTACTGGTGTTGTCTCTGTCAGACAGCTATCTTGAAAGTCGCTCACACTTTGAAAGGATCATTCGTTCTGCCGAAACAGTTTTTAACCTCTTGACACAATGACCTTGTATATTGACTTTTCAATATTTGACCGTTCAATACTGCGGTACTTAATACATACTGTCATAATTTGGCATTCAACGGTGACAGTCAGTTTTGATATTCTGGCATTTTACCCGCGTATTGATATTGAAAGCATCTGATTAACAGACAATATTTTAACTGCGAGTTTCTCTCACGCGAACTCAGCCTGGTCGAAAAGTGCGGTTGGAACTTGGTTTTTCTCTATGCAAAATATAAAACTAAAACCGGTGATGATTCCAGTAGGCTTTGTTCACACTTTTATTATGCGATCGGTGTTTCTTGAAAAAATTTCCTTTTTAAAAATCTAAATATCTTTTAGCTGTTGGCAGATAAATATCTGGCCTAAAAGAGACTAGCATCTTAGAGACAGACGAGCCGAAGCCAATTACGACCCTCTTTCAAGGATTCTCCGTCGACGTCTTTATTGGGTCAATAGCTACGTTCAACCGATAATGCTGACCTAACCCCTCAAGCAAACAAAAAAAAAATGGCGTCACAATTTTCACCTCCATATTTGCCTTAACACAAAATATCCCACGCCTAGAACGAAAATAAAGCCATCAACAATATCGGTATTATTGGATACTATAATCGGTGTGAGATAAATTAGGTAGCTTATATAAAATATATTGAACGCTGCTTTGGAAATAAGATTTCCTTGGTGGAAGATATGAAGTCATCGAGAGTAAACACAGCGGGAAAGGTAAGATTACTTCATCTACACTAGCCTTGAATGCAGCAATGAACCCTTTATCAAGATCAAAAACAAACTCAACCTGTTTATAATAGTTGAACTCACCCATGAAGTATAAGTCTTGAAAGCGATAAAACGCTATTAACTATTCAATCATGCGCAGTTTTGTAGTAGGATTCTTACGCATGCGCGATAACTTCGCCTAGTTTATCTAATTCTTGTGCAATGAAATGTTGCGTTCATTCATCCCTTTTTACTCCGAAAACCCTTCAAGTAGAGTTTTTCTTGAATTAAAGATTGTAAGAAGCTGATTTTCAGCCATGTAAGTAGTTAATTTTCCTTAAAGTGACTACCTGTTACACGGTAGCATTCAACTCGTCATGGTTCGTCAACAAACTAAGAAAATACTAAAAAAGATTCAAGGTTTTTAAGAAATGTAATTTCTTAAAAAATCAAAAAATTTTGTTCCAAAAGGGAAACTTCAACGAACGAATAGTTATTAGCGGAGTGATTTGAAAGCTTAATGTCTTGGAAGTGTGTGTAGTTGACTGCAATACAGCTCAGCGAAATTAGTGACGTAATTATTTTGAATTCGATGGATTCTCTTACCCTGATGTCATGGAATCTTGTTTGACTCATTTGTGTTTCTCAGAGCATTTGGTCGAAACGTTGTGTCCCATGTAAGAAAACTAAATGTAGCCTCCTTCGAGAAAGATAGACGGATTTTACACCATATTTTACAATGATTGGGAAGATAGGCAGAGATTGTTGGATTTGTTTGACGCTTGTGTTTAATTTCTTATTACTACGCTAGTTTATCAATGTTATCTTATTACGCTAAACACTGGAAGGATTTCAATGAGGCCACAGAATCATCAACTTGAAAAGAACCCGAATGCCCCGCGTAAAGTGCACTCGCGTTTGGCATTGGCGTTTATCAGGGATTTTCGTGCCAAAAGGAACAGTGTTTGGATATTATTGATTTTACTACTCGCCCAAGGTAATTGCGTTTAATTAGATAGAATGATCTCTATTCAATTTCGACCGGTTATCTCGTATAATCCATCATTACTTGTGGTTTTTGTTTGTTGTACAAAACTGTCAAACCATTTTCCTAACATAAAAACTTTTATTCATATAAAAGTTTCGCTGTGCTTTCAAACTACTAAAAATCTAAAATTCTATAATAATAAAAAAGAAAAAGTGATTTTTTTAAAGGTCAGTGTAATGGTTAAGATCGTTTTTTTGCTTGTGGATTTTACGGTTCACTCCACACGTTTAATCCTCTCCGGGCTTTTTTCCCCTTTTTTCATCATTCTAGTTAAAACGACTTATTTATTACATTGCAGTGCTTTGTTCTAAAGCTACTTTAAAGCAAGACGCTTCGAGTTGTTCGCAAATAGGACGACCAGAATCCAATGTCACTCTTATGAATGGACTTGACAATCCCAAAGTACATCGCTTCATTCTGGGCCATGTTAAAACACTTGAAGACTGCGTGCAAATCGCCTGTAAACGAGAAAACATCTCTCTAGCTTATATCTCGAGGTTTGACTGCTTTGGGATTTCGTGTGATGGAGAAGAAGAGACGTGTTGGCTTCTTCCAAGTTTTCAATACCCGACACTCGTCTTTGCAAGATTACAAAGAGGAATCCCCAAAGTACACAATACAACGATAAACAAAGCAGGTAAAAAACACTGTTGTTTCGACTTTTAGTCACCATTATCTTTAGGTCACAAAACAATGTAAATAACTCGTAATTCTTTCGGAATTTTCGCACTGGAGTCATAATTCTCTGCTAAATTTAAACGGTACCGGGCAAATTTTTCAGTATCAGTATCAGTGTCATTCCGCTATTTCCAACTATAAGTTGATCAGCAGGGACTATATAGTCTACACAGAGCCAAAGTTCTGATGTAGTAGTCCTTTTAGAACTTTTCTGTCTTGTGTAGA